ATGTTTTCATTTATAATTTAATAAGCAATTTTAATATTTTAAGTCATTTATCCACTTATTAACTTAATATGCATTTATTGAGTAGAACTATGTGTCAGATACAGTGCTAGGCATAGGAAAATACAAATGAATGAGTTACTCACCAGGGTCAAGGAACTCATAATTTAGGGTGTAAGCAGCTGAAGAATGAGGGGGAGCCAGGAGAAGATGAGGGAAGGACACCCCAGGTAGCAGGCACAGCATGTGCAAAGCCTTGGAAAAATAAAAAAATGTCATAATTTTGGAAACTATAAATAAATATTTGAGGACAGCAACCATGACCAGTTGCTCACCACTATATCATTAGCACATGACATTGTAGCTATTCAATAAATATTTCTTGTATTTGTTGATGGATAAATACAGTAGCAGATAAAGTTGAAAAGCTCTTATGAATGGCTTTACAGGCCATTTCACTTTATAATCCAACATTCACTGGAATATATTTCATTGAACACTAACTCTATGGACAGTCAAGAGATATTAAGTGGCCCGAGAAATGACAGATAAGCATCACTAATTGCACAAATTTAAACAGGTTTATTTACTGACTTCTCAGGCTTTAGTGTGCTCGTGGTGATGGTGCTCACTGACTGTTTCCCAGATTTCTGTACCTAAGACATGCCTACCCACCTGTCCAAACCCTGTCCATGGTTTTGGGACGATGTTTTAAAGCCTTTGTGCCTTGGGAAAGTCTACTCTGGAACAGAGATGAGATCCCTTTAAGAGTTTTCGGTAGGGAACTGCACTACGGCCATCGTTGGTTTTTTAGAACCCCACCTTTACATGTTAAGGGAGTAAAATGAAGAGAAATTTATAACTAAACTAATATGGAGATACTAGACAGAGTTAGCACCTTGAATGATTTCAAGATTTCTGTCTTGGTGGCTAAGATGGAGATACCAATGAAAAAGGATATGAATTATAGGATGAGAAGGAGTTTTGGAGGGAAATATCACACAACCAGTTTAGGCAACTATGTTCAAAGTTCAAGCCTAAGTTAACTATATACAGTTAGATTTATTTGTTTGGGTCTCAGAAGAGAGTAGAGCTCACAGTGAAAGCTCTGGGAATGGCCTGGAGCTGCTCACAATGTAATTTCTCTCTCTTCCGTAACCATTTGGATATTTGAAGTCATCTATCATGGCACCCGTAAGCCTTCTCTTCTCCAGGCTGAATAAATCCTGTTGTTCCCACATTCCTAGTGTGAAATGATACCTGGATCATTTTACTCATGCAGTCCCCCATCTGAATGCACTGTAAATCATCAGTGTCTCGCCTAGGATGTGGTGCCTGCCGGAACCATTTATTACAGTTCTAAAATTTCACATATTATTACTTTATTGAGTAATAAATAACCTCCTCCTTATTCAAACTGGCTCTACGCCATTTACTACTTCCTTCTTCCCAACCCTCAGGCAACCGTGCCCCTTGAATTATACCCACTCTCCAGGGAATGATCACCACATGAGATCTCTGCAGTGTCTGCCCCTGGAATCCTTACTTTGCCTTTCTTGACTCAAATGTTGTGTCTTCCTGTTGGGAGGATTTCTTATTCTCCACCTGTCCTTGTGCGCTTGATCTTTCAGACTCTTCCCCATTTCCCAGCGGCCTCACTCAAGACTTTGATGTTGGGTCGTATTATGCTGGGTCTGCAGCAAGCAGCCTATTTCATCTACCCCAACTTCTGACCTTACATTCTGTGTGTCCATCCAGGATCCTTCCCTTTCAACCAACCAGCATCTAAGATTCATACAGAAGAGGTTAGACATGATTAGATGCCAATTTTCTTGAGAGAAAGCGGCATCTCATCTTATTCTTTGTATCCCCAGTGTCTAGCACAATGCTTGACACCAGTCGTATTTAGTGTGTGAGTGGATGGATGGGTGGGTGGTTGAAAAAAGCAGCTCTGCTTCTGACCATATTTTAGTATATAACATTTTGTGTTTCTACATAGTTTTGCTTGGAAAAAAAAAGAGTCTGATACCAAAACTACTGGAAGACTAGTGCTCTACTAGGTAATGCCCTGATTAACTGAATTAATTCTTTTCTCCCAAGACTAAGGAAGGAGAAATAACTGCAGGAGTATTTAGGCATTTTGTACTTTTTTTTTAGGACCCACTACATGAAGGCATTGGAATTGGCATTTTACATTTAATTTCACATTACTCTGTGAGGTAACATTATCATTCTTATTTTATAGATGAGAAAACTGAAGCTCAGAGAGTTTAAGTGGCTGAAGCTGGTGGTGTGTGGTGAAGGCAGGACTGAATCCTAGATTTTTCTACTCTGATTCAAATTTTCTTCCTCACACTCTGGGGCAAGTTCTCAGTATCTTTAATGAGCACTGTGTAACACAGACTTATTGTTTCCTTTTATTTTCATGTTTTCTTAACTTGAAAGGCAGAAGATGAAAGGCTGTAACACATCTGAGGACTTGCTTTACAGGAACATAGATTATTGTTTTAGTAATTAGATGCTCTAATTATTTTCCTGGAGAAGATCAAGCATATTTTTGGTTCCAATGGTGATATACTAAGAAGGTACAATGCTAGAGTGACTTAGAAACAGTGGCCTGTTTATTGCTGTCATTTTGTAACTAGAGAAGAAAAAATGCTGACACATACAGCCATCAGAAGATGCATTTTGTTTAAATATTTCAGATTAGGGATAGAGAAAGTGAAGAGCTGCTGACTGGTAGGACCTGAGTAAATACTCATATAGCACAACTGTGAAATATTACTATGTAAAATTTCACGGTATAGTTGGTTTTCGTAAACTCTTGCCTGGCTAAATTTGACTTTTTGATTAGACAGTGATTCTATGATAATCTCTAATGATTAATTCTAACACTTAAAAATTTTTTCTAGGTCTGGGAAGAAAAGGAAGAGTTACCACTCTCCAATTCTTCAACTACAATAGACTTAATAATAAAATTCTGTCATTTATTATCTATTATCTATTGAGCTCTCTATGTCAGATTTCTAATCTATCCTCTCTAGAACCTTGGGAGGGAAGTTTACATTTTACTAGAAAGAAATTTGAGGCTTAGAGAGATTAAGCAATTTACCCAGCACTCACCACTTGAAGTTGGGATTTAAGCAAAATCTAACTGAATGTATCTACTTAATCTCCATTCTGTACTGTTGTTTCTTGAGCATTATCATTTCTGTATGTGGCGCTCCACCTCTCCAAATTCTCTTCTTCGAGAACTCTAACAACCATATTATTGACAAAAAATGATTGTTTTTAAAACAAAGAGCTTAAAGTAAGTATAGATTTCTTTCAATTAAATATTTAAACTTTCTACCTCATTACTACAAGTCTCTATGCAATATATTTATTACTATCAATGTATTGAGGTTTAAATAAAGTTTTGTATGTGTGTGTATAGGAAAGCAAAGGTGGCTGAGGAAGTGCCTCTAGATTGCTCAGTGGGCTTGCTGAAAAAAAAAGAAAAAACTTTTCATAACTTTTTCCTGATGTATTCCCTGGTACATTTTCTGAAGTGTTCCTTTTCTGGGTGATGTGTTCATTTTGATCACTTCCTTTTTGGATTTCTATTGGATTTTACCCCCCTGTGATTCCCATTGGTATCTCTTATTGGTTTATGTCTCTTGGCCCTTTTAAGTTCAAGTAGATCAGGGTAGAGATGGTAACATGGAAGGGATAGCTTAAGGGAGAGATGGAATGAGTGGAACGAAGGGGCCTTCCCTTGTCCTCCTATGTCCATAGTGACTCTCATTTGCATGGCTTATCAGATGGGAGTCAGGATGTATCAGGAGCTGAATTTGGGGAGCAAGTTCATTTAGGGATGTTAAGACTTAGAGCAGTTTCTGGTGGGTGATATCTAGTTTGGAGAGAAAAATATTCCTGATTTAAGAGATGATTTTGATTAGGGCCTCTAACTAATGGGATGTGACATTGATAGGAAATGGGTTATTTTCTGGGCCTCATTCAGGAGCCTTATGCATTAAGATCACCTGGGGGAACCACAACCCACTTGGAGCCATCAGGCCTTGGTAGGCAGGTATAAATATAGGACCAGAGAGCACACCATTATATCTTTCTAAATTATATCTTTCTTCATTTCTCCATTCAGGGGAGGTCTGCTCAAAGAGCTTAAAGAGCATTCACTAAGGCAAGTGTCCAGCACTGGGAGAGGGTCTTGGTGGGTATTCTAGGAAGTGGGAATGTACAGCTTTAGAGCCAGGTCTAGCTCACCCCTCAGAGGGCAGAGCCTCTCGGGTCTCTTGTTTGTATTAGAATTGCCAGCTACTGGTATGGGTGGGATGGCTTCAGCTCTCTTAGGTTCTCTTTACCTGTTTACCTGTTTGTCCTTCTGTCCATCCATCTGTCTGTCCATATATCATCTACCATTTACCATCCAGTCATCCAACATCTATCAATCCGATCAATCAGTCAATCATATTTATATGTCAGGATTGACAGAATAGAAAATAAGGATTGTAGTTATGTATGTCAGGGAAACTAGAATTCGAGTTTACGCGTAATGGAGTGGTGGAATTTAGTAGAAACAAGAAATAGAGAAATATAGGGGTTTATAGTAATTATAGCAGGCGTATGTGCTCCTAGGCTGAATGGAGGGGAAAAAAAGATGTATTGCAAAGCCAAAGATGAAGCAAGAAATTTTAAAAACGATTTCACATAGGACTTTTTGGATATCAGAACTGTTTGCTTCCTGGCAAGAGGAAAATACAATCAGCCGATAAAAGGCTCAAAATTTGGTATGAGAATAAAAGCTGCTGCCTAAGCTTTGGAGGGAGAATGTTAGAAACCCAGAGTGGAAGTGCATTAGCTTAGTCAAGTTCTTCATTTGGAATAAAATAAGGGATTGTGAGAGGATTATAAAAGGGAAAGAAACTCAAATGCAACAAAGAATGCTAATTTATATATCTATTTTTTATTTGCTTCTTTTTGGGAACTGCCTCAACACCAAGCCGTATGATTCTGGGTGGCTGATGATCACAGGGGACCCACCTTCTCTGTGATGAGGCCAGGTAAGAGGGAATTGGAGGTGGGTGCAGGAGAAAGGTGAGATGACAGAGAGAGAGAGAGAGAGAGAGAGAGCGAGAGCCTGCGCAAACAAGTGACCTGAGGGAGAACAAGCATGAGCTGCTGAAGTCCTTTGAACTCCTAGACTCAGCTCTGCCTGAAGTTAGCATCCCTTGGGCTTTCCGGTTACCTAGATTGTTTTTACTTATGAAACTTAGAATGCAATTTTTGTTCCTTGTAGAAATAAAAAAGCTCAGAGAAACTACAGAAGCAAATGAACACATAGAGTGGAACTTGTAAAACCCAGCTGAACGTGTCCAAAAGGAATGGAGTGGGGTGGCCACAGGGCAATGCATCCAGCAGCAGAGAGAGGAGAGGCAGAAAGGATCGCCATGCTCCTGTGTGAAGTCCATAGCATAGCCCTGAGTAATTCTGAAGCAGAGCAAGGAGGCTGAGAGGAGAGCACATGGCTGAGTGCACAGTCCGTTTCTCTGGTCCTGGAATGCAGTGGCTTATGGAGCATCAATAGTAGCTATTCCAGTTAAGACATCTTTTGAGAAAAATCTAAAACCAGGACAAATGTGGGAGCAAAGGGTGAACCCCTCCTAGTCTCAAGAGCTATAGGCTGATGGGATTCTAGAGGAGGAGGGAGAGACAGCAGCTATACTGTCAGCAAAAGGGCAGATGGGACTGGAAGGCCCTGGGAACCTAGTGGAATCAGTGACACAAACTAAAGAGTAGGAGATTTGGATGGTGGGGGTGGTACAAGGCCACAGATTTAGCTTGGAGCATTTCTTGTTATAAATACATGGGCCCATGCTCATAGGAAAGAACAGCATCTCTGTCCCTAGAAAGAGACCACATTGAATTGAGCTTTAGAACATTAGGAATCAAAAGATATGGAAATGGCGATCTAGAGGGGTTGGATATAGGAAGAGGATACACAAAGAAAGACGAGGGTCTCAGTGAAGACCTTAGGACAGGACAGTACATTATTATCTTCCTAAATTTTATTAGAGGTTAAGGGTATTCCAGATAGCATTCTTCAATAATAGAGGCAATCAATATATAGAGCAGTGGGATAATGGTTTTAAACTTTTTTTTTTTTTTTAAGCAGCAGAGCCCCTTTAAAGAAAAAAGTGTAGGCAAACTTAGAGTCCATAAACCAACAAAATATTGAGTGATTGAATCGGGGGGGTGAGATTCTGGACACTGGCCTGCACAGTGTCCCACTCTGTGGGTCTTTTTGAGAACACTGGGGCCCCAGTGCACACAATATGGAAATCACTGGTCTACACCAGAGGCATTTTTGTGGCTTAGGCCAGTTCTCAAGGGTAAAAAATACTGAATGATCTGGGGCCATAGCCCTGGCTTTTTGTAAATACCATGTATTTGGCAGGTATGATGACCTGTATGATCTGCATGCTCCTTATTTCCAAGATCGGTATGTCTAAGAACGTTGCTGGAGTGGCTGAAGCCGCAGCAGGGAGCTGGTTGTGGATTTGGAGCCTGGGATCCTGTCACCTCATGTCTGTTTTTATTGGTGGCTATGGCCAACAAGGAAGTGCTTTGTAAACCTGCAAAGAGCCATAAGAACACAATGGCTCATTATTTATTTTGATAACGCTTCTCTCAGGCATGGTTCACGATGCTGACAACCTTTCCCTCCTTCCACCCTCTGCACACACACACTCCGGATTTCTATTCATCTTTTAAGGTTTAGTACAAGTACCATTTTCTCCAGGAAGCCTCCCATTTCTTTTTCTGCCCTTCTTTTCCCGAGACTGGTAGCGTTTTTCACACTATACTACAATTGTTTATCTGTCTCCTGCTATTACATTGTGAACTTCGTAAGAGAAGAGACTTAATTTTTCATTTCTATACAATTTTCTGTGCTCAACACAGAACTTATTTCATTGTAGATATTATAAAGGAATTTTATATTTTATGAAATTATAAATTTTTTTCATAAATTAATAGTGAAAAAAGAGATGAGATAGGAGGAAGGGGCAGAAACATTATAATTTATCAAGTTTTGAGAATTTGCACCTAATTTGATATTACCATAGAACCAGCTGGTGTCCCTATGTATAGACACAGGGTTCTCATGTCTTAGCCAAGTCATAGGTTCCCAATTCTTAGACTTTTAGAATTGAAATGAATTGTTAAAACCATTCTGGTACCTGTGTCTTGTTAATTTGTAGCTGATTTTTGTCTATTTATTTTTAAGTTTCTGTCATTACTTTTTTTTTCACACACGTCCCCTCAGTGTCTAGCCCAGAGCAGGGATAGTTGCTGATTGATTGGAAAAGCAGGGTGCCCCAGAATCCTATCTGTGAGAGTAAAGCTTATGAAGTACTGAGAGCAAGCATCTTAGTATTTACCTATTTAATTTTGTATTTAAATAAAGGCTTTAAGTATGCATATTTATACAAACACCCACCCCACTATTACCACCACCCCCACCCCCTCCACCCCTGGGCTTGTATGCCTGGGCAGTACATTTTCTTTTTCTCTGCATCTGAGAATAAAATTAAGCAATTCCATAGCCAAGGTATACTGAGAGTAATAAGGCATTTTTCAATTAGAAGCAAGCACTCTCTAAGTGCTGACTAGCATAGTCCTAATCTATGGAAAATAATTAATGCCTAAATGACATCAGTGATGAAGCTGCTTTCCTAGATATGATAGCTAAGGCCATAGCTATTGTGAGAATAGAGAAAAGGTCTAGATGTAGCAGTGAAGATGGATATAGAACTGACCTAAAATTTAATTAATTAAGATGACTGACCTGAGTCCCACATCTTCAGATCCTGTGGACCAGAAACCCAGGCATCATCTCAAGGGCTTTGTGCTAGTCAGGGTTCTCCAGGAAAGCAGAACCAATCTATACATGAGGGAATTTATTTGGGAATGGCCTTATGCTATTATGGAGGCTGAGAAGTCCCACAGTCTGCCATCTGCAAGCTGGGAAACTTGGTGGTATAATTCAGTCTGAGCCAGAAGGCCCAAGAACCAGGGGGCTGATGGCATGTCAGGCTGATGGAACCAGATCCAAGTCTGAATGCCTGAGAACAGAGTGCTGGTGGCCAAGAGCAGAAGAAAATGGATGTCCCAGCTCAAGCAGAGTAAATTTGCTCTTCCTCCACCTTTTTGTTATATTCAGTCCCTTACCAGATCTGATGAAGGCGGTCTTTTACTCAGTCCACTGATACAAATGCTGATCTTGTCCAGAAATACTCTCACAAACACACCCAGAATTCATGTTTTACCAGGTATTTAGGCATCTCTTAGCCCAATCAAGTTGACGTATAAAATTAGCCATCACAGGATTGATCAAACTTGAGGATAAAAGCCAGTGAATGTGCAATCAAGCTGGAACACATTTACTTACACCATATTAATCTCTTTGATAATTACTAGGTCCATGGAAATAGTACATATACTTTTAAAAAACTACATTCTAGATGTATTAAAATGAAAAAGAAAAGTGCCCATTGATAGGATCAGAAGAGAATACAGGTAAAATATATAGGAGATTTCAGGTTAAGGAATGTTTTTCTAGGTGTAGCAACTCAGGAAGAAGCAATAAAGAAAACACTCTGACAATGTAAAAATTAAAATCCTCTGAATGTCAAAAAATAAAATACAAAGCAAACAAAAAATAGAAAAGATTTACTGTATATAAGTGGAAGACAAAAGTCATTGATGAATAAAGAACTGGTAGAAATCAATACAAAGAAGGCTAATATAGTAGAAAAACAGACAAAAGACAGAACTACATGTATTAAGTTTTGTTGGAAAAAGGGGTGTGTTTAGTCACTAATTTAAAGGGAATTTAGAGATCAGGAAGACAATGTAGTAAAATAGGAAGGTCAGAAAGAGTCCACAGAATATATACTCCCAACCCCTAGGTTTATTGAGATATAATTGACATATAACACTATATAAGTTTAAGGTCTACAACATGATGATATATGTATATGTTGCAAAATGATTCCAATAGGATTAGTTAACACATTCATCACCTCACATAGTTACCCTTTTGTGTGGTGAGAACAACCTACTCAGATCTACTCTCGTAGCAACTTTCAAGTATACAGTACAGTATTATTAACTATAATCACCCTGCTGTATATTAGATTCCTCAGAACTTATTCATCTTATAGCTGGAAGTTTGTACCCTTTGACCAACATTTCCCTATTTTCCCCACCACCCAGTCCCTGGGAACCACCAAACTACTCTCTGATTCTGAGTTTTTTTTTGGTTGTTGTTTAGGTTCTACATATAAGTGAGATCGCACAGTAGTTGTCTTTTCTCTGTCTTGCTTATTTCACTTACCGTAATGCCCTCCTGGTTCATGCATGTTGTTGCAAACGTTACTCCTTTTTATCCCCATGTCTTCACTTTGAGCCTGTGCGCATCCTTAAACCTGACGTGAGTCTTAGGCAGTATGTAGTTGGGTCTTGTTTTTTTAATCCATCCTGACATTCTATGCCATTTGGTTGGAGAATTTATCCATTTCTATTTAAAATAATTATTGATCTATAAGAACTTACGAATGCTCTCTTATTGTTTTCTGGCTGTTTTGTAGTTCCTTTGTTTCTCTTCGTCTCTCTTGCTGGATCCTTTGTGATTTGATGATTTGCCGTAGTGGCATGCTTGGGTTCCTTTCTCTTTCTTGTATTTACTGTAGGTTTTTGCTGTTTGGTTACCCTGAAGCTTACATAAAACCTCTTAAATATATACTAGTCTATTTTAAATGAATAACTTTGGTTGCATACAAAACTATACCCTTTTACTTCCCTCATACATATGTTATGTCTTTGATGCCACACATTTCATCTTTTTCTGTTGCATATCATGAACTCTGAGGAAGAAAACAATAGCTTCCTGTTCCCTGCCACCTCCCAGCATCCAAAAATTAAATCTCGGGGCGATCCTCTGATTGGTGTTGATTGTGGCACAGGCCCAACCCTTGAAGTAATCGCTGTAGTCGGAATA